CAATTTTGTCTATTTTTGTTGCACAACTGCACTTTAAGAAAGGATTTGATGGGATTCTCATATCACCTTCCAAACGTTCTCAGCATATCAAATTTCTTATAGCGGCAGTAACACTGATGCTAATTTATATGTATATCAAATGTGCTAGACATAATTCTAAAGATACTTCTCCAAGATTCCTACCTCTTGGGATATTTAATGAAACACTTATGAATGTGTTTAAAGGACTTCACACTATAAATAAGATATAAACATTTGCCCAGGCACAGTAGCTCAAACCTGTAATCCAAGCTACATGGGAGGCAGAGATTGGGAAGATCATAGTTAAAAGCCAGCCGGGGCACTGTGGTACAAGCCTGCCATCTCAGCTATGTAGGGAAACACAACTAGGAGGACCAAGATCAGGCCAGCTGGGGCAAAAGGCAAGACCCTATCTTTAAAATAACCAACACAAAAAGGGCTGGCAGAATGGCTCACATGGTAGAGTGCCTGCCTAGTACCACCTAGTACTACTAGTACTACAAAAAAAAAAAAGTAAAGATATTAATGTGAATACATTAACAAAAAATTAAAGTAAGCAAACAACAAAAAAATACAGTTACCAATTTGTAATTGTGTTTACAAAACAAATACAAAACAATTTGAGAGTAAAAAATTAATACTTACATTTTGAAATAGTTGAATAACTTTAAATAAACAGGGAAATAGGTAGCTCTTTCTTAGAGTAGAATCCTAGTTAATATACATTAAATAACTGATGGAAATACAAAATTAGTATTGGTAAAAAATACATTAAGTACATGCAAGAATCAAAAATGGATGCCAAAATTAGTGGCTGGATGTTTGCTGAGAAATAACATATTTGCATGGTCTCCAGATGTCTCTCCAAGAGACATTTCTTAATAACAAAGGGGACAATAAAACTAAAGTAGTCATCACTGGGAGACACATATCTTAAGCAACTCATCAACATTCCATCATAAACAGACATTATGCACTTATTAATATTAGGTGGAGAACAAGACATCAAAATTTTTACCCAAAATATATACTATCGATACAAATCATGAGGAAGCATCCAACAAACCCAAACTAAGGGATATTCTACAAAATAAATGGCCAATACTTATTCAAAACAATAAAGTCATGCATGGTACCTAGGCTCCAAGATTATTTCAGTGATCTCACCTCCTGGTATTCACACATTTGTGTGGTTTCCTCCCACATTGTATCAGGTATAGTAATCAGAATTCTAAAGATGTCTTCTCCTCCCTAGTTTATTCAACCAAATATGAATCTCATGCTACGATGAAGGTCCTTTGCAGTTGCAATGAAAATTAGCAGTGCTGTCTGTATGACCAGTAGAATACCCTACAAGGAATGGTATGCCACTTCTAAAATTAGGTCATAAAAGACACTGTGGATTGAAGTTCTGGTTGTTCTCCTTTGTATCATTCACCCCTGCCTTGTCATCAGGCTCTATGAGGAATAGACACCAGCCACATTTCAAAATCTATGTCATTAAAAATAGATCACTCTAAGGAGAGGTCACATACTAGAGGGGGAGGGTAAAGGAAGGAAGTTAAGGTGACTGCTTGATGTGCTCGCTATTCAAGAGTAAATATAAAATTTTTAAATCTGTTGAAGTCACTATAAAATGGGACTAAGGTAGAAAGAAGAAAAATAGAGATGAACCATTTCAGGTTATGATACATATATACATGGAAATGTCATGAGGAACTCCCTGTGTAGCTATATTAAATAAACAAAAAGGTCTTTTTTTTTTTTTCTTCTAGAAAATAGGAGAACAGGAGGGCAGAACACATCCTGCCTGGGAGGCTGGTACCAGTGGGATGGGGGAGGAGATGGGAAAAGGGTGTATATGGGAAATATGGTACAAATACTATATGCACATGTATGTGAATGGAAAAATGAGACCTGTTGAAACTGTTCCAGGAATGAGGGGAGGAGATGATAAAGCAGAATGATAGAAGGAGTGAACTTAAGTATGATATATTTTATATATTGCAAGAACTTTTGTAAATGCCACAGTATACCCCATCCAGCACAATAAAAAAAGGTCAGGGCTATAGTTTGCATCTGGAATATCCCCCAAGGGCTTGTGTATTGCAGGTTTCGTCCCCAGCTGTTGGCACTATTGGGAGGTGGTTAAAACTTTAGGAGGTAGGGACTGGTTGGGAGAAGTATATTTTTGTAACCCCTTCCTCTCTTTCTCTCTCTGCTTCCTGGCCACCATGAGGTACTTTGCTCCCCACTATGATGTTCTGCCTCACCATGGGCCCAGAAATAATGGCATGAAGTAACCATGGTCTAAAACTTTTTGAAATTGAGGGTCAAAATAAATTGTTCCTTTAAGTTATTTTTCTCAGGTAATTTGTCAAAATAATGGAAAGCTTTTAATACAAATACTTACAACAATGTAATACAAACATTCTGATTTAATAAAAGTTACATATATACATTTTTTATAATTGTTTTCAACAAAGAAAAACTTGAAAGAAAATATATTTAAATTGTATTTATATTTTCCTCCAATTTACATAGTAAAGTCGAATGTATACAGAGTTTTCCATGTATAAGTCTTATATTTGTATTTTCTGCAGTTAAAAAAAATCAAAATGTTAAAAGATTTAAGCTATATATTCTCCAGTTATGTACAAACTTATGTCAACTTTTAAGTTCAAGCTTACTTTAAAATAATTGTACATTGTGGAAAACACAGATTATGAAAAACTTTGTTCTAAAAAGAGCATACCAACCCATGTAATCTAAGTAGAAGTAAAAACAATGATTATAAATTATAGTAGTGTCTGTGTCATTTAGTCATGAAAGGAAGTATTCTTTCCAAATAAGTATATTATAAACAAAAGAACCAGACTCATTTTACGTGCCAAAATTACTGGTCCCCTTTAACCATTTTCATTAAAAAGCTTGTAAAAAATGTATCATCTTTTAAAACTGAGCATACTGAATATAATGTAGCCCTTGATAACTAAATCTTATGAATGCCAATTATTTAGTGATCTGTTTAGCAAACCATTTCCATGTATGGTGTGATTTCTTTTCTTTCTAAATTAAGTGGTCCTATATTGGTACGTTTGTATACTAGTGCAGATATTCTGCTTCCTTTCTTATTCTCATTTCACATGCTCATCGGTGAGTTTCTCAGGGTTTGCCATTAGCTCTCAGCTCAGAAATTCTTCCATTCAGTCCCATCTGTACACATACAGATAGTCACCAACAGGTGGCAGCTGGATGGGAGGGACATTCTAAACCAAGGTGTCATGTTTATTTCCTGCCTGTCTTTTTCACTGTCCCTTTGGTTGCTGAAATTTTCCTGCTTCCCAAAATCTAAAATTTTGGCTTGCTTTCTGGTTTTGATTTTTGGCATTTAAATGTTCCTGAGTCAAGCAGGTTTACCCCTTTGGTTCCTAACTCACTTCTCTCATTTAGTATTCAAGTGTGCTTGCTAGACTAACTCAAACTCATTCCTTCCCCTCTAATTTCAGTTTATAAATACTACTAAGTTCTTGAATAATCTTTGACCATAGTAACCTCTTAAATTCTGTGAATTTCTAGTGTTTCTGCTTGACTTCCTGCCGGTCATTTACTCTGAGCTTGTGTTGTCCTGATCACAGTGTATATAAAACACTATTTGTAAAGCACAAATCTAGAGGAAGTTTGGTAGGGGAAACCTGATAACAAATCTTATTAAATCAGGAATTTGGGGCTGGGGGTGTGGTTTCAGTGGTAAAGCACTTGCCTAGCTTGAGGCCTTGAGTTCAATCCGTACTACCACAAAACAAGCAAATATACAAACAAATAAAAGCCCCAGAAATTTGAAAAAAAAAAATCATGTGTAATCATCTCTAGCTTTCTTTTCCTTTTTTATTTTCTTTCTCCTCCCTCCTTTCCTTCCTTTTTTATTATTATTTTTTTCTTTCTTTTTTAAAGTGCTAGGGATTGAATACAGGGCCTCACCCATACTAGGCAAATTCTCTACCACCAAGTTACACTTTCAGCACTTTTTTTAATCAGTAAAATTCTTAATGTTAAAAGTTGTTTTTGTTGATGTTTGATTATCTATTTCTTCCATTTCATAAGTAAATCAGCCATGGACAGATGGAATGACCTGAACAGATGGAGTTAAGTTATAAAGTTATCAGGTTTATGAAATACTTAAACTTTTGAATAAATACTTGAGAGAAGGGTTTAATATTTTAATCATATAACAATTCAGATGCCTGCTATATTCAAAGCACTACTTTAGGTACTACAAGTAATGGATTTCATGATAAGTTTTTAAAATAAAAATTAAAGTATTCAACATATAAACATCAGTGTACAGAAAATTAAGAAATCATGTCATGTCTAATTGGCACTTTTCATTGCTGAAGCTAGTTCTCTCATCTTGAATATATTTACTAAATAATACTATCACAGAATCATAAATGTTAAGCACTAAAAATCAGCAATATCAAATTACCTCCTGGAATTCTTATAGTGACATTTCTGTGTTCACAATATAGTGAGACCCAAAGAATATAATAAGTCCATATTCGAGTAGTTCCATAATGTACTGTGATAAATAACATTTGGATTAGTATGTAGAATTGCAACAGGAATTACATTACAAAGCTGCCTTTAAATTCATAAACTTTCAACAATTCCCAGAAATCACATGAACTTTAATTTTTCACATCATAAATTTTCCACAACTCAAACCATTGTTAATAAACATTGAAATGTAACAAGCTGTAAAAATAGTAAAAGGGTATGTTTTCATCACTGTGGTTTTTTGGCTTTATTTTACTTTATTTTACTTTTTGAGACAGTGTCTTGCTATGTAGTTCAGGCTGGCCTTGAATTCTAACCCTCCTACCTCAGCCTCCAGAGTGCTGGGATTACAAATGTGTACCACCACACCACACTTGGCTTCATCACTATGTTTCTTAAATGTAAACTTTCCTTTCCTTTTTTGTTGTTGCAGTACTGGGGTTTGAACTTAGGGCCTCGTGCTTATTAACAGGTATTCTACCACTTGAACTACTCCATTAGCCCTTAAAGGTAAACTTTTAAATAATGGTTGGTTCTTTTTCTTATTAATAGTTAGGGATTTCATAACAAAATAATGAGGAAATAAGTGATCATGTGTGTCTTTTGAGGCTTTTGTTTGGCTTTGAAGGCACAGACCTGTTACCCGCATTAAATCAAAAAGAAGAGTACATACACATACACAAACACACTCAATTATAAAACATTAATTTTTAAAATGTCATTGACCATATAGGGTAGATAATGCTGCATTGCACTGCGTTAAAAGGGAGGTCAATTTTCCAGCTGTAATCTCCTTTTCTCTTTCACCCTTCATTTCCTGTTTTGTTGAGATCCTGTTCTACTGAAACAGTCATCACAACTGTATTCTGACTTTGAAATGACACATCTGTGCCTAATGGTGGAGGTCTGTACAAAAATATTGCCAATCCATTGAAGAAAATGGTGATAACTTTACAAGTAACACCTAAATAAAAAATAAAATAAATCACGCATTAGAGCCTTTAGGTATTAAAAAATGAGAAAGAATTGAGAAACAAAAAAGAATTGAGAAATTCTTCATGTACAAAAACTCACTGTTTCAAAGAGAAGAATTATATGGCATTATAGTTCTGTTTTCAAATTTTAAAATATTAAGGAGGCTGGGCATGGTGGTTCACATCTTTTCCCAGCACTCTAGAGGTGAAGATCTCAATTCTGGGCTACATACCAGTTCCAGGCAAAAAGCCAAAAATCATTAGGAAGAAAGAAACAAAAACACTTGCATATAATTCGATAAACTAGAGTTTATTTTCTTTCTAAACAATAAAATGTACATAATAACTGTCTTATTCATGGTTATGATTTTGCATTCTTATAAATTAAGCAGTGTGGAGGATTCAATAAATTCATGTTCCACTTTTTTTTTGGAAACAGGCTGGCCTCAAACTCCTGACCCTCCTGTTTCTGTGTCCTAACTGTTGGGATTACAGATGTGTACCATTGTGCCTGGCTCAACATTGTGAACACAATATCATATCTAAAAATTTCACACTACCAAAGCATAATGTTAAAAATCTCATACCATCCTTGATCCTGAATAAGTTGGACAATATTAATTTCCAAAATGGAAAATAATTATAAAAGCCTCCAAAAAAGGCTCTGGTGCTCATAGGATGAAGCTTCTATGGGAATGTATCACATTTACTCTGCCAGCCAGCTAAAAACATTAAACATTAAGATTTATTTCACAAGTTTGGTTCTCAGATGACTAACTTCGAGCTCAACCATGTGAAGACAAAATACTTCCAGCCACCGTCCTAAGCATTTAATGTGTCGCTTGAATAAATTAATAGTGGTCTCACAACATAGTGTTCCCAGAACCTGAACTCTCTTTGTTAATCATCAATATTTTATTTTAAAATGTGCCTTTGAAAAATCACTGATTAAACATTTCTAGATTTTTAGGAAGATTAGTAACATTGATATGACTACTACAATGTTTCTTCTTGGTTTGTTTTTGAAAATTTATAGATGCTATATGTATATGTTTTGGGAGGTAAAATTCTCACATTCATCACTGAGTGGAATGGACAATTCATTATCCACGTTTTGTAGTAAAAAATAATAGCAACAAAACCAATTAAATCTTAGACATGAAAAGGATGAATAAAAATGGGTTTTAATAGTGAGTAGAAGTAATAGGAAGATTAATTTTATTTTAATAGATATTTATGCTCATTATATTTTGAATTTATGTATTGATTTCATCAGTGATTACTCTGTTACTTCATAGTTATAAATTCAGAGACTATACGCTGGCTTAAAACACATGTAAGAGTAACAAGCTTATCTTGATACACGTACCAAAATAATAGCAATGAAAATCACATTACATATATTCAAGACTTCTCTATACTTAAATATTCTAATTTCTTAAGATTGTTTTTAAATTTTTAAATATTAAACTTTAACTTCTAGTACCAACTATATTAACTGGATGACTTGCTCTAGTTTTTTTGTGTGTGTGTGTACCTCAAGAAAGGTGAACCTCAGGCTGGCCTAAAACCTAGAACTCACTGTGTCTTCCAAGCTAACCTTAAACTCACGATCCTCCTGCCTCAGTCTTCAGAGTGTTGGGATTACAGGTATGCTCTGCTATGCCTGGATCCTTAATTTTTTAACCAAAACTATACATACCATAAAAGATAAAAATTGTTAAGCATTCTAAACTACAAGAAGAATCTTATTGCATGTCTTAGAGCCAAAGGACTCTTCTTTACTGTAGATACCTAGACGACAATCATTCTTAGAACTGCTCTTTAGCTTTCAAATATACTGCCAAAAAGTTTGATATAAATTGTCAAAATTATATGATATGTGATGTAATGAGAGCTAAAGCATTTAAGATTGAGTATTGCAGGCTCTATTCAAAACCTCTGATGACAAGCTGTGACAATTCACCTCTGCTTGAAGACTACATGTTGGCCCAACAGCATGGGCTAACTTTCCACAACTATAACATAAGCAACCAGTTACTAATGTGAATGCATTAGTTTAAAAGTTATCAGGATGGCTCTAGCCTATAATCCTGGCTACTCAGAAGGCAGAGATCAGGAGAGTCACCCACACAAATAGTTCTCAAAACCCTATCTTGAAAATACCCAACACAAAAAATGGTTGGTGGAGTGGCTCAAGTGGTAGAGCATCTACCTAGCAAGCGTGAGGCCAAGTTCAAACCCTAGTACCATTCCTCCACACCAAAAAATAAAAATAGTTTTCAAAATGTCACTTACTTATGGCTACTAGCATATGGGCCATCTTGATGTTATCATAAATCCAGCAAGCTCCTTTAATTCCACATTCATTAATATCCCAGAGTATACATGTGCTATCTATTGTGACACCAAATATAATTGGTCCAGGTATTGTGCCTAGAAGAATTACAGACAAAATAAAAATAGGTAAAGATTAAGTTTATTATCACAGGTTGTTAATATATATACTTTTATATATATTTGTATAGACAAATATTCATATACAAATTAATCAATTCATGTACAAGTCAGAGATAAAGAAACACAAATAAAATACTTTAAAATTATATATAATTATGCATTTCTAATCAGTTCAAAAAGTATTTTTGTAGAAATCTCTAGCGTATATTGGGTTAACATTTAGTTTATTCATTCTTTTTACTCCAGCTGATACAAAAAACCAAAAAGTCATACATATTAATGAGGTAACATTTAAATCAGTGTAAACATGTTTATTTCCACAAACTTTTATCAGTTCTTTGTTGTGAAAGCTTTCAAAATCCTTTCTCTAGCTTGGTGAAATGTTAGTTTAGTAAGATTTTAAATCATTTCTCTGATAATGTAATGAGTGAACGTGCCTTTAAAATTCACTATTATTGATTTGAAAAAATCAAATTATTTTTGATGCACGAATAAGTCTGATGAACTGCACTATATGGTATAGAGGGTGCATATGCATAAACTAATTTGGGCATATGTGTATACAAACTAAAAATGAACATGTGTGCATGAGTATATGGTCTGAATATGGACATAATATATGGACATACATATTCAAGATAACTTGCACACTGTTCACACACACACACACACCACTGCCAGGAAGCCACGGAGCTCTAAATTTCCATCTCTGCACATTCCACATTGGCAAATTCAACCAATTGTAAATTGAAAATATTCTAAACAATTCATCTATACTGAACATGTTCAAACTTCTTTCTCTTGTCACTCTTCCCTAAACAATGCATTTAAGAGCTATTTATGTAGTATTTGTTAGTGGTGCAGGTTCAGTCTGTGATCAGGAGGCTTCCAAATTCTTGTCCCTCAGGGAAGAACTCATGGCAGGACACATGGGTGTAAATAGAATTCATTAAAAGTTAGGAAAAGAAAATACAAAGGGAAGCATGGTATGGCCCAGGTGGAAGCCGGAAGCCGAGAGAGCGTGTTTCTGATCTTTAGGCACATTTGAAACCTATGATAACCTATAGGAAGGGGAGAACAAGGAGATTCCCACCCAATAATCAATGATTAGGGAGAGGCATGGGTGGTTCCCAGCTAAGTGAGGGTGGTCTGGGCCATCCCAGAGCAACCTACATGAGTCCTGGAACTTTTTCTAATTCTAGCCTGCCTCACATTTACATTATTTTATTTATTGTAAGTAATCTAGAGTTGATTTAAATTACAGAGGACAGGATACGCATGGGTCATGTGCAAATAATACATTATTTTATATACGGGACCTGAACGCCCAAGGATGTGGTACATGTGGGGTCCTAGAAGCAGTCCTGCAGGGATTCTGAGAGATGGCTAAACTTCACACACTTCCAAACATTACAAATCAAATATATTATTTGAAGTAGTATTCTTAGACAAAGGTTTAGGCTGTATGTGGCCTGTTTTATGACCTGTAGCATGACAGAGCCAAAAGAATATCTGACTGAAAGGGATCATTTTTTCTAGTCATCCTTCCACCACAGTTAATTTATAACTCTAGCCAAACCTTTAAACTCTCAGAGCCTTAATTCACTCATCTGAAAAATGAGAAAATTTAACTACCTGGTTTCTAATGTTCTAACGTTTTTTGGTTTTAATAAATAATAAATGATATTAATATTATATTTATTATATATCTTCCTTCTCAATCTTTCTACATCTGTAACCTTACAAAATTCTCTAGTATAAATTTTCTTCCATCAATTCTTAACTAGTCACAATATCTATGCCATGATTACTATTGAAATGTTTTAACTCACTATTTTTCATGGTTAATGCAACACAATAGTATCATAAATGGAGATAAAACCAAGGAGAAAAGAAATCATGTGGTGAAAGTCATATTTTTTATTTCAAACAAATCAAATATACCTTTTAAAGATGTATTCGAATCAGGATTAGAAACATTAGTTAACAAATTAGGTAGGTGAAAAGTTAAGTCATTATATTTTCATGTGACATAAGTAATGGTACATCTTGAACACCGGAAAAGTTTTCAATCACAATTTTGTCCTTTTCCTCTTTAATTATTTTCTTGGCACATACCATATCTGAATCAATTGATAACACTAATGAATCACAATAGTTAGCATTTATCAATAATTTTTTTTTAATGGCATACCTAGTAATCGAAGCAACATGAACTGAATTCCCAATGCTAGAGCCCGTTGTCTGTGGTTAACACACCTGGAAACGTTAAACACAAATGAGACTGAGTAAGTTTGTATTGTATATTCCCTATTTGAGTATGTTTAGCATTTCTACATTAAAGTAAATGTTCATAAAAAATAAATTATTTGCAAGATCTTATAGTTTAATCATGCTGAGATTATGAGAAGAAAAATACTATCAGAACATAAATACTGCAAATAATGCCCAAAAGAGTCACTAAGTCCTGTGAGTTTTAATAATGGTAATGGAAAAAAGACATTCATTAACAAGACTTATTTTTCATGAAGCCTCTCAACAAAGTGGGTGTGAAGGAAAGGTATCCAACATAACAAAGACTTTACAAGAAGCTCACAGCTAACATCATAGTCAATGGTGAAAAGTTGAAAGCTTTTCCTCTGAGATTAGGAAAAAAAAGGATGGGCACTCCTACAACCTCTACTTAACATTCCATTCAAATTCTCAGCCAGAGTAATCAGGTAAGAAAAGAAAAAAAGGCATGCAAATTAGAAAGTAAAAGGTAAAGCCATCTCTGTAGATGATATGACTGACCTATAAAAGGTCCTAAAGACTCAGCCAAAAAAAACCTATTATAATGGGAACAAATGAATTCAGCAAATTTCAGGATACAAAATCAACATAAAAAATCAGTTGTGTTACTATACAATAACAATGAAGTACCCTAAAAGGAAACTAAGAAAACAATCCCATTTATAACAGCATCTAAATATACAGTGTTTAAAAATAAACTAAATGGAAAACTTACACACTTGTTTAAAAAAAGAAAGAAAAATGAAGATGTTGAAGTAGGCACAAATGCATGGCAAGACATTGTATATTCATGGTTGGAAAAATTAATATTGTTAAAATGACCATACATCCCAAAGCAATCTAAGAATTTAATAAAATCCTTATCAAAATGAAATTAAGCCATTTGCTGGAAATAGTTGGAACTACAGATCATCATGTTAAGTGAAATAAACTAGTCATGGAAAGACATGCATGGCATGTTTTCTCTCATTTGTGAAAGCTAGGAGAAAACCAAAGAAAAAAACCTAAGTCATGAAAGTAAAAGGGGACCTGGACCTAATAAGGGACCTGGAAGTGTACGAGTGTTAAACTGCTTTTACTGAGAAGCACCATTCCTCACTGGTGCCCACAAATTAACTAAAAGCAGGAGAAAAGCTTGGCATCCCTGCCTCAGTTTTGTATCTTTGCTCTCAGTCATTCTCTTTGCAGTCATTTTGCAATCACCTTAGATTCCAGGAATGACAGAACTGATAGCATCTTTAATGACAAGGAACTGAAATTTATGACAAGGAACAGCAAAGGCTCCTCAGGACAGACAACAATAAGTCTAGATAATAGATAACTTCATCAGAACCTGTCCCCAAAACAAGAGATAATGACCAACCAGGCAACACCTGTGACTGGAACTGTTTAACTTTGCATAACTTTTGTTCCTGTCCTAATTCTTTGTCTATTTAAAATTAAAGTTCATGTCTATATTCAGAAGATGGATGAAGATGGGCTGAGTGTTTATTTTGCCTCTTCCCTCACATGTCCCAAGCCTTCTAATAATCTCCTTTTTCTGTCCTTCTCCATGTCTCTTTATTCAGGGACTAGTAGCTGAACTCTGACACGTGGAAGGTCAGCAGTTTGCATCTGAGGTCAAAAACTCCAGTTTCAAAACTAGTATAGAGATTCCTCAAAACCTAAAACACCAGAGTTTACATGTGATCCCTCAATCTCACTTCTGGATACATGTGAAAGGGAAATGAAATCAGTATGTCAAAGAGATTTTTAGACTCTCATGTTGATTGCAATATCAGTCACAATACTTGACATGTGGAATCAACCTATGTGCCCATCACTGAATGACTGGACAGAAGAAATGAAGTACAGAATACTATTCTGTCTTAAAGGAAAAGGGAATACTGTCATTTGTGACATGAATGAACTCGGAGCACATTATTGCTATTGAAATAAACCAAATAGAAAAATTACTGAAGGCCTTCGCTCATATGTGGGTACTTTAAAAAGCCAGCCTCAAAGAAGTAAAGGGTAGAACAGTGCCAAAGGCTGAGAGTAAAGAAATGAGGTGATTCGGACAAAGGGTGCAAAGACACAATTATGCAGGTAAGTTCTGCACAGCATGGCGAGCTTAGTTAACAGTAATACAGTATTGTATACTTGAAATTTGTTGAGAGAGTAGATCTTAAATGTTCTTACTATATTCATGCACACACACACACAAATGGTAACTGTGTGGTCATGGATATGTATATTAGTGTAATTGTGGTAATTGTTTCACAATGTATATGTGTTTCAAAGTATTACATTGTATACCTTAAATATATACAATTTTCATTTGCTAATCATATCTCGATAAATCTTGATAAAAAATTAATAATAAACCAGCATTTGCACCAAAAATTACCTTTTTGTTATGGCAATTTGGGGATTAAACCCAAGGCTTTTTTTTGCATATGCTAGACAAGTTCTATACCACTGAACTGAAAGGGGAAAGGGTGTTCCCACTTTTTTTTTTTTTTTTTTCATTTTGAGTCAGGGTCTCACTAAGGTTTCTAAGTCACCTTTGAACTTGTAATCCTCCTCCCTCAATTTTCTGAGTATCCTGGACCACAGGTGTGTTCGACCATACCTGCCTAATAACACTTATTTTTGACTATCGCTATTAAGTTGCAAGCACAAAATTCATATTCTTTACTCTGATTATTTAATTTGAGACTGAATTCCTACCCATGGGAAAAAGATACAAATCTGGGCCAATGAAAAACAGTTCCTTATATTCAACTTGCCTCAATAATAATTCTTTTAATGACTGTCAAAGATGCATAAGACATGATGCAAAGAGTCATGTGAGAAAGAAAAGAGATCAACTAACCTTTTAAAATAATCATAGAAAAGTGATTACTATATTGTTTAAAAATGAATTTTTTTATATTTACGACATAAAATATTTAATCAATAATCAAATACGTAATATTTCTGCTGTTAGTGATTCTCTTCTATATAAGTGAATTACCATCTGATCTTTCATTTTGGGCTGAAGGATTTATTTCAAATTTCTTGTGGTGAAGGACAGCTAGCAAGGAGTCTGTCAGATTCTTTTTACCTGAAAGTGACTTAATCTTCTTTTCCCTTTCAAAAATGAATTTTTAAAAAACATTTTCCTTTCTGCTAAATTCCTCCCATTTCCATTTAGTGTAATATTAACTATATCATGTTTTTAATTTAGAATAGAAAAACTTCTCATTTTTACCAGTTAACACACATTCCTCTCTCATCCTTCCCCCAACTGTATATATACTGAAAAATGTACATTTGTTTGAGGAATTGCTACCACTTAATCTCAAAATTTTGAGTAAATGTACCTCAGTCTAATCAGACTTTTTATGACCTTTATAACTGCATTTAAAACCCTTAATTACTATTTCTGGATGTTTGAGAGTCTGATTGCTATCATGAAGTAAAAATTTATTACTTTAGGGATAAATAAACATAGCTCTTGTTTAGCAAGCAAAAAAAAAACACTTTCCACTTATCAAAAAGCATATGACAAAGTAATGGGTGAATATTAAGGAACAAAGTACTAAAAAAGGAAAAGCCTAGAGTTTATCAGGAAAGATATAGAAAGGCTGGGGGGCCCATGGAAGGGCTGGTGGGAAGTAATTTTTTTGTAAAAAATATAGAAGGACACAGGCACTGGTGACTTATGCCTGTAATCCTAGCTACCTCAGAGGCTGAGATTAGGAGGATCAAGGTTCAAGGCCAGCCTGGGCAAATAGTTTGTGAGACCCCCCAACTCTAAAATAACCAGAGTAAAGTGGTCAGGAGGCATGGTTCAAGTGGTAGAGGGTCTAGTTTGCAAGTGTGAAGTCCTGAGTTCAACCCCCAGTCCCACGAAAAAAACAAAAAAAAAAAAGAATATGGAAAAAGAGCCACTGAAAATGCAAAACCCTAACAAATATCCAGGTGACAGCCAGCTTCTTACTGACTTACAGGAAGATTTCTTACCACACACCTGTTTAAGCAGAATGCATGTTCTGATTCTGGCACATGTGGAGTACATTTAATTTCCATGATACTCAAATACACTCAAGCATATCTCTAGCTCACAACTGAAGATTCATGAACCAAGCAGAGAATCTAACAGCAGGAGGATGCCAGACAGGCAATGTTGACACACATCCTCACACATTACTTCACTCACATCTCTTTCATCTGCAAGTCCATGCAGAGCTTAACCAATGTCACAGAAATCCTCATACTTTTAGGACTGAATTTACTTGGTACCAATGGTCAATGTAAGTCCCAGCTAAACCCGAGTCCATTTTCTTTCCACTCAACGTGTTACCTTAGGAAATATAAATTTCACAACATAATACATACCTTAATATGGACACAGTTATAGGAGTGCCAGCCATAAAGGTAAAAACAACTGTGATGAAGAAAATGCCAAGAAATATGGGCAAGTTTGCACATTGAGTTTCACATTTTCCAGCTTTAGCTTCAAAACTAAAATTTTCTGCCATAGGTATTATTTCTATTTTCCTCTCAATACAGGAACAGTTGTAATATGTCTGAAAATATTAGGCCAAAAATACCGAAATTGTTTATTTTGAAAATATTTTTATCAGGTAATTTATAGACATGGTAAACACTCTCACACTGCCCAATCCATATACAATAAATAATGCTGAGAAAGAGTAACTAACCCTAAGAAATGAAGCAAATTCTTATGAAATAGAACCATCTGTTTTTTGACTTTGTGTCTCTTACTTCAACTTGTAACCTATTATTGGCTCATGACTTCTAAAACAAATTGACAAGAATATAATACTTCTATGATCTTGAACATTCTAGACTACTTTAATATACCATAATTGCTCCAAAACTGTTTTCCTGCTAATTTTTTTCTATTGCATTGTAGGAGGCAAAGAAGAATCTATGCTGACAACCTCATTATCTTCACTAGTTTAAAAGAGCAAACTCTATAATTCTGACAAGTGCCACAGTAAAATGACTTAATACTTTGAAAAAAATTGCTGCTTTTAGCTACAACCTTTAAACTATAATTTTCTGAACTTTTTTTGAGTTACTTTACTGAAAGGAAACTGTATCTTTCTTAAAATGATATGTTTATAATAATAAGAAATAGAAGTTACTATCTCACTCTCTTGAAGCCCATTTTACATATAAATAACATATTATTAATTCTCATATAGACATATATGTATATCTAAGTATATTTTAATAATATGAAATGTTGAAAGCTAACATGACAAAAAAAATCATGAGTTTTACCTCTTTAAAAAAGAATTCAGATTTTAAAAATTTATTAGGCACTATTATATTTTAAAGGCATTTTATATCTCAATTCCATCCTTAATATAAACCTTTTTATTTATTTAAAACCTCAACAAAATCAGAATCAAGCCAGGGAAGCCAAAGAGAGGTGATATTTTCATTGTTCCAAAAGCCAAAGACCACTTCTCAGTGCTAAAGCAATTAATTCTAAACCACTGGTACTGGCTCAGAAAAACCAAAAGTGACTATCACACAGTAAGCAATAACATATTTATAATATATATTATAATATTATATATATATAATTCCAACCTTTCTTAAACTGGAAAACTGACCACAGGGTTTTCTATCCTGCTAAAACTTTGTCTCTCTCATGTAAAGTATACATTCTCCTATAAAATAGCTCTTAGTCACAGTCTGTTTTTGTACTTTAGGTCACTGGTATAAAATACCATGCTAATATTGTTGTAAACAAATGTACATAGGTGTTCACTGCTTTGTTGTACATGAATTTTGCCTATTTAAGATATTTAATAAGAAAAACATCTTGTGAGTCAAAATAACTCATTCTCTTTCTTCCCATACAACCCCAGAAAGAAATCTTAGTATTTGGCCAAAATATAAATATAAAAATAACCTTAATAAAATAATCAATACCATTTCAAGTGTGCTGTATGTTGTGGGTATGAGATTTTTTGCTCTTTTTGTTTCCTTGTGTGATATTGTGTTTGTCTACATATCTTTAGTTATGCAAGTAAAACCCTTCCAATAACTTAACTCCTTCAAGAAGATCCTATCTACTTATCCATCTCTCAAAGGAATATTTAGTGATCTGCCAGGTAGTTTTGACTTTAAGATATCAATCAAGCTCACTTGTGGAATCTGATTCCTTACAACTGACTCAAATACTTAATTTTCTCAAGGTGCATTTGAAACTAAAGCAATCCCAGATGTTTTGAACACTGGGAGTTAAAATCTTAAAACTGTTCCTGAAGTCTTATAAAATTGTAATTGATACATTTTTATAATGATAGAATTACTTTTATTTCCAAGATGAGAACTTCATACAGTGTCATCTGAGCCTTTTAGGTTTCCTGTGATTCAGCACAGAGATTTTTGCTGATTTTTCAATATTTTTATATAATTATTTTAAAATATGTAAGTTAGGTAATATAAAAAACTCTCATTGTCTGTCATACTTTTGTGTATCCCTAGCAGAAAGATCAAAACCTTATATATTGAGATAAAGTTTTCATGTATCTACTACATATAAAATCATTAAAGATATGTACATATGGACACATATGTATTAATGCATGTACATTTGCACATATAAAATGTGTAACTTCACATACCATGCACACAAGCATGTTGGTTTTAGAAGACATTTCAAGTAATTCTAAATGTTTCTATTAATTATTTCTACTTATCTATGCTAAATGTTTTCTTATAATTTTCAATTTATCTTTACATAGGAAAAGGAATGCCATTCTGCTATCCCATATTTCAAATATTCAAGATTGTCACATAATTCTTACATAGCTTATTCATTGAGGCTTGTGTACCATAGTGTACATTTCTCCAAGGTCCTTTTCAAGGTACCACATTATCTACTAATGCCCAATATTTTACATACTTCTCATAATTACAGTATTATTTATCCAAAAGGCTCTTAAATTTAGCTAAAATAAATTTTTTAGATTATAGATGGATTTGAATAAAATCCCTTTGGGTTCTCTTAAAGTATTTAGCTGTATTAAAAAGAAATAAGGTCTGGGAAAGGTGATACATATTTTTATCCAAAAATAAGAATGAATTAATGATTTGAATATTTTAAAGTGTATCCATGGTGCAACAAATAACACAAATATTTACTAAGTTTTATCATAAACATTTACTAAGTTTCAATTGTATAAATTGTACTCAACAACAATGCTTTCAAGGATCTTAAAATATAGTTGAAGAAAAATAACACAATACAAAATACATGTAAATAGCTTGTCACTCCAGCAAAAGTGTTGTTACCAAGATGTATGTAAGAAACTGACAAATTGAGTTATCAACAGTAATTGCGGAAGTGTGAAGCAAAAGGAGTCTTTTTCCACTGAAGAGGTCGGGGCTGCTTAATGGGGGAGGTGGGGCAGGAAAACAAGAACAGGTACTTCACAACCCCACTAGAAGGATCATGAGGACAAGTGTAAATACACAAATGCATTGCTTTGTCCAGGACAAAGTACCAGCACACAGAGTTACCTTTGGTTTCCTATTTGAAACAGAGTTTAAACAACCTGCAAAGCAGGGAGAAAAGTATTGGACACCATCTCCTCCACAGAGGGGATAATAGTAAGATCTCAGACAGTTACAGTTGGCATTACAAGGGGCTGTCAAGTTCCCCAGCTCTCCAGTCCTGCAGAGAAGAAAAGACAGAGGCTAAATTATCTGACTTAACTTCTAACAAACAATTGAGAAGCATGTTGTATCTTGCCATTCAGTCAGTTATTCACTCCTTCAACACATAATTACTGAGTTAATAAAATAAAACTTCTCCCTTTGCACACAAGCTTAACATCCTGTGAGAGAGAGGCAGTAAAAATAATAGTTATATAATATCTGTCAGCAATAAGAAAAATAAGACAGAATAAGTGAACAAAGCAGGGTTTCTCTTATGGTGCCAGACAGTTTCTGCAGAAAACTGGTTCTGTGGATTGTGGGGTGATTAACAGTGTCCTCTGCCCCACCCACCAGATGCCAGCAACATTCTCCTTAGTTAAGGCAACCAGAGAGCACCCAGACATTTGCAAAATATCCCCAGAAGGAAGGTAACATTTTAACCTGAAAGAATGAGTAAAATCACGTTGTTCAGCACACTCAATTTACCAATGGGAAAACTGAGGCTTTGGGAACTTTCCTCTATTTGCCAAAAAAAATTTTTCTGATGTCCAGGCCCAGTTGTTTTTATACTGTCTCTTAGTATGAAGCAACATCTTCCATAGTGTAAAGAGTTACTCTGGTCCAACATGCTTTCTTAATGCCTCATTTATCCATCCATTCAACAGATACCTGGAGCAGGTGCTAGGCCCTATGCTTGACAATGGTAACACAAAGTTGAATAAGAAAGTACTCTGCTCTCAAAGATTTCACAGTCTAAGAGTAGAGAATCAGAGATGCTGACTATGATTACAGATACATGCAAAGTCCATTTATTCATTTTATTACCTACTATTTTTTATTTTTGGCCAGTTCTAGGGTTTGAACTCAGGGCCTTCTGCTTGCCAGGTGGGTGTTCTAACAGTTGAGCCACTCCCCCCAAAGCATTTTTGCTTTAGTTATTTTTCAGATAGAGTCTCATGTTTCTGCCAGGGGCTATCCTTGGACCATGATCCTCCTACTTATTCCTCCCGTGTAGCTGAGATTATAGGTGCCTTGCACTATGCCTGGCTTTTTGACTGAGATGAGAGCTTGCTATCTTTTTGCCTGGGCTGGCCTCAAACTGTGATCCTCCTATCTCAACCTCCTGAGTTTGCAAAGAGCATTTTAGAAGTACCAAAGAATACCTAACATAAGCCAAAGTTTGAAAAGGAGAAAACTGGAGGAGCTACTGCCTGAGGTGAGTCTTAAAGGTGAGTCCCCCGACAGTGGGAAATTGGAAGAGCAGTTCATACAAAGGAAGTACAAAGAAGCAGGTGTGAAACAGCAGTCTATGTGCAGAAGTAGGAATGATGGCTGAAGCTGAGAGGGACAGGAAATATAGCTGGAGTCAAGGACCAGATTAATGAGGGCCTTGTAGGCCTCATGAAAAACAATGAATGACCTTTAGCTCCACATGGTGATGCATGACTGTGATATCAGCACTCAGGTGGCTGAGGCAGGAGGATCACAAGTTCAAGACCAGCTAGGGCTATGTAGCAAGATCCTGTCTCAAAAATAGATAAGTAAGCTTTAACTATTAGCAAAATGTAATCATTTTAGCATTTTTAGACTGGAAAGTGACATTGTCAAAAGTTCTCTTTAAAAAAATAATCCTAAAAGTTATGCAGAGTATGAATTTGTTGGAAAGGTACAAATTATAATATCTCAGACAACAGATGATGTCAATATAAAGAACTAAGCTATGATATATGATTGTAACAAAGAGATGGGAGAAAATTTTGGGTGTAGAATTAGTAAGATTTGGTATTTAATTAATTGGTTGAATGATTGGAAGATGATCACCTGTGTAAAAGATGCCAGAGTCGAAAGTGACTCCTACTGTTTAGGTACAAAAGGAAAACCAAGTGAGGAAGAGGTGAGAGGTATAGTTTCACACATAGAGATTGAAAGCCTCAAATTTTATGAAGAAATCTGGCCAGAGGCTGAACTCCTAATATCCCTATGCATGCCGAAGTAGTTGAAACCACAATGTGATAAGATCAGCCCTAGAGCACAGAGTGAGAGTTGCACAAAGGTCTGCGAGAGCCACCTGCTTACAGAACAGTGAATTCCAATTATGTACTGCACTAGTCAGAGTGGAGAAACATATCCATCTAAAAGGATAAACCAGAGCCAGAACCAGAGATGAGAGAGAGAACGTGAAGCCCAGCCCCCACGAAACTCATTCTTTTGCAACAGCAATCACACACAGTAAATAGTACCAAGCACAGTTTCTGTTTATTGTGTGTTTGGTTTTGATTTGTTTTATTATAATTTGATGTGTTTTATTATGGCTTTTCATATCTTATAAGGTTTTAAAGCACAAGCCACCACCACCACTACTAATTACCAGAGTTTAGACCCAAAGAGTCTACAGATTGTTCAGGCAATGTAAGAATAATCTAGAACTTTAATAACTAATAGATTTCCCTTTGTTTGTTTGCTTTGTTTTTTTTGAGACAAGGTCATGCTAGTTAGTCCAGGCCTTGAACTCTTTCTCAATCTTCCTGTCTCTGCATCCCAAGTACTGGGAAGCCTGTGCCACCATTCCTGGCTTAAGCAATAGATTTCTAGAAATATACACTGATAATTTCCTTTCAGTTGAATTCAATGTCCAGTTGTCTTTAATGTCCTTAATTGTGTCTGATTACAGATTGAATAATAAATTAATTTTTAAAAGTATTGAAAAATATCCCTTACAACAATCAGTATTAATGGTCTCAAAGTTTTTTTGGACATACAGGGTTTAAATGAATTTAGCAATAAGCCTAATTCACTAGTTCAAAACTGCAAAAGCTCTTTTACCTACCTGTGATTGTGTAACGTGGGTAAGACTCCTTGAACCATTGCTCTGGAAACCCTACCTTCTTCCCACCTCTATTTTCTCCCACTCCTGGAACAGGAACTTCTTGACTTCTCAGTCTGTTCTTCCCATATGCCCTTTCTCAGACACATGACTAAGCAGACCGTGATATGGTAATTTTAATATGAAGGGTACAAAAGCTAAAATTAAGAATTTGGAGACAATGACATAACTATTTCATGGCACTGCATTGTCAACAAATGACATCATAGGGGCTCCATTCTCATGACTTCATCAAATCCTAATTATCTCTCAAAAAACAATACCATTCATATGAATTTGGGTAGTGTTTCTAACACATGAATTTTGGGGTGGGGGGTCACATTCAAACTATGCAAATGTGAATCCCTTAAAGATAAACATTCTGTTGTATTAGTCTTTGTATCCCTGAGCCAAAATTAGTGTCCCGTACTTTGTGGTTGTTCCTTAAATGCTGTCTGCATAAATACTCACAACTCTTAAAATGACACCAATTTTTTAAATAAACAAAATCCCCCATATATTCTTGCATAGGAAAAAGGACTTGTAATTAAAAAGAAAAAAAAAGCAAATTCCTAATCATTTGATTTAAGAAGCATATACTTGGAAATGTACACATAATTTATTACTCTGACATTAATATGAAAAGTATTGAAATATATTTACCCATTATATGATTCAGACACACCAGCAAATGGCTCATTTTCACATTTGGCATAAATAAATACAGAACTCAGCACGAGTGCAACTCCAGATGCAAACAATGCAAACTTCATTGTATTTTTACATGTCATTTTGAATTTTGAAACAAGGACACCACCTAAAATCTGACCAAGAGCAGCTCCAGGAATTAGAACCGCCCCTAATGAGAAAGAAGATAGTGAAGAAACACACGAGTATACTCAGTAACTCATGCTGACAATTGGAAAACATCAAAAGCACCAGTAAAGTTTTTAATATCGACAAGTATTAACCCAACAGAAAAACAGCTGCACAAATGACTTAATAGTTCCACTAAGTAAGGGCTTAATAACATTAAGCATTGAGCATTAAGATATTCCCTTTAGCCTTATAGGCTTTGTCTCTCTTAAATTCATGCAATAAATTCTCTGATTACAAAAAATTGGAACTTTAATTAAAGTCAGTATAAAGTGTAAATTTCATGGTATGAGATATCCAAAGTTATATGTTATTTTAATAAAAACATGTTAAAGTATAATTAGCAGATTAAGTTAGAACAAAATTGTTTTACCTCCAAGGGTAGCTGCAAAGCTGGATGTCAATCCAAATTGATTTTCTATAAATTTAGGTAAAAATGTAGCAAATCCAGTAGTAACTAAGGCTTCAGAAGAAGTTGATAGAACTAAACACATAAAGACAGTATTCCTCATCAAATTCTAAAGAAAAAATACAGTTCACCAAATGAATAACTATAATTGTACTGCAAAAGGCAGCATTAAAATGGTAGCATAATGAAAAGGCAAAAAATTTAATAAACAAAATATCAGCCTGCAAATTTACAGCATTTTTCCAGCATAAAAACATGACTACAGATAATTAATAGATTTACAAATGCACTGATGAAATCATTTGTGTCTGGAGCACCTAAAGAATTGACAGATAATTCACTAGTATGGTGATTATACCTTTCATCACACTCAAGGAGCCAGGGAGATAGGTAAAAGCTCACTTGGGAAGGTTCCCCTCCCCAATCTCACTACAAATGTCTATACTATAGATCTACCCCTTATTTGATTTTTTAAATTGTGTCTTGAATTCCTATGTTCACTGAATGAAGAACTTAAGACTGTGAACACAGATGCAAATGGTCTCCAAGGACCAAACTCATAGTATCTTTTTATGATTAAAAGACTAAGTAATTGAAAACTTTAAAGCAATTTTAAGTGTTTATATTGTTGTAGCTCTCAAAATACTTATAGTTAGGGATAACCTAGCAATTGTACAGAAATCAAAGACAGATGAGGGTGGCATTTGGTGACATAGTGGTGAACATAGCTGCTTTCCAAAGATAAATGAAAAATTTATAAATTTACACATGGAAAGAACAAGTTAAAATCACACAAACATGGAACTTTTACTCTGTAGCACATTTATAAAAAAGAGCAAACAAAACCCAAAGGTTACTGGATTAAAAGGAAATGAGCCAAAGGTATTCATCTGGACAGAAATATCATTCAGACATTCAAGGATAGTTGGTGATATCCTATCCAAGGAAAAGCAGCAATAAAATGCTGCACCCATAGAGATAGAAATCAGAATAGGGATCTCTAACAAGCAAATGAAGATTTTAAAAAGCAATGGTGAGCAATGACTCTTGAACACATGCTCTTTCAGTTGCTCTACCTGAAACAGTTTCACTCAAAGACAATGAAACTAAATCTGAGGACTTATTTATAAGAGCTACAATGTAGTAAATAAGCACACCAGACTCTTTTAAGAGATTTCTGTGTATACATGTGTAAGAAAGGAGAAAGAGTTAGTTTAATTTTACCTTTAGAGCAGCTGGAAAATCTTTAATACTTTTTCCAAAATTCTCATCTGTGTGTTGTAAGACAGTGCTATTATTCTGATGAGTCTGAGAAGTTTTTCCAGCTTGAATCTTTGCTGTACCTAAAAAAAAAAAAAAGTAAATTTACTTGCTCTGTAATTTCATTCATCCTTTTACTTTATAATTGACAATTTCCACAAGTGGACAAATTCCGTTGCACAAGAGGTCAATTATTCTTTTTTTCAAAAAATTGTACAAATATCTATGTCTGTAATTAGGCCATGCTAAGAGCTGGTGTTTATTAACACTAACTAAAATGAGTTTCTACCAGTCTAAACATTAAAATGATACAATTTTGCTCACAACACATATTGTTTTCTTACATCATTTCCAATGGATTCCTTTTGAGTTTCAGGCTGTTTTTGCCACAAATTCCTTTCTTTTCTTTCTTTTATTGCATAAAACCTGTTATTAGCATAAATTAATTGTACAAAGGGGTTTCCAGGTGATATTTATATCCATGTATATGATGTACTTTGATCAAATTCAACCCATCTATCAAACTCTTTCTTTTCATTTGGAGTCTCCAAACATTGTTTGTTCCTTTCAAATTGCTGATTTTGTCATCATTTATAATTTAAATACATTTGTTACTTTTTCCTGTTGCTCTCTAAAGGAAAATAATCATGTTTGCAGATGAAATAATATTTGCCACCTATCATCGTGCTTTTGACTTTTAATATTAATTCTGTGAATAAATGTGGAAAAAAAACAGTAACATGTAATTTTAAATTGGATGGCCCAGGGTAGAAAGAGATCAATGAATTCACCTACTTCTGTTGTATCATTTTCTTTTGCTCACTTCTGAAAGTTAGTAACCTATTCTGTTGCAAACAACAATGGAAAAAACTAAATACCTTCAACCTAGAGAAAAATACTTCTACAGATATGTGTTTTAAATACAAAAACAAGCTCTCAAAGCAAAATGGGTATTCTTTTTTTCTATTAAACTTTTAATTGACTCTAATATTAAAATATGGTAAAAATGTACTACAGAATGACTGATGATAATTGAAAAAAATATGTACTTGTTCTTTCAACTACAAATAATTAACATAAATGATTTAAGGCAGATGTGTCCTTGAAACTGGTGACTGGTTGAACATGAACTAATACTTTACAACATAAGAAACAAATTTAGTAATTAGTAAAGACGTGAATATGCATAGTTTTATTAATTATTAGTAGGAAATAAAATCCATGAATGATAAGATTGCTATCCACTATTTACCAAAATGAAGATAGATTTTCAAAGTATGTGTAGGCAACTAAAATTCTAAAAAGTAAATAGGGTGAATCTGTGTTTCTTAATAATCTGATAGAAAACAGTATCTGGCCTAGAATTAGAATAAAACCCTCTGGTTTTAAAGGAACCACACTTACCTGGCAAATGTTTTGGAAAGCAGGAGAAAGGTATTATCAAAGACCAAGCAAAGAGCCATGATAGGAGAAATCCAACCCACCAAGCCCCCAACCACCGTGGATCATCCTCAGTGACATCAGTGCTGTATGACAGAAAAACAAGAAGGAAAATTCAACTCAGTCTTATTAATTATAATCCAGTTATGACAATCATGTACTTTATATGTGCATGGGATACAATACTATTAAATTTAAATTTTCATGAGGCCACTATGATGAGCCAGGTAACAGATAGCAGGCATAAATGAGTTATATGACATGAAAATTTAAAAACTTAATAGGAAATATAAATGAAATGAGTATTTGAAAATATACAGATTTTCTAAACATTTTCACTTAATCTTAGCTATTTCTCCTCTACTGTACTCAAATACATCTTACAGTAAATCACTGATCTATGTTAAAAGTCCACACACTATACTTCAACTATAGCATTCTTTTTAAAGCAAATTATTCAAAAGTGGTTTATTGAAAGTTTTTTTTAATGCCTGTAATCCCAGTTACTTTGGGAGGCAGAAATTGTGAGGATCAGGGTTTAAGGCCAGTCTAGGCAAAAAAAAAAAAAAAAAAAGTTAGTGAGACTCCATCTCAACCAATAAGCTGAGCATGGAAATTTGCACCTGCCATCCCACCTACGCAGAAGTCAGGAATAGAAGAATTGCACTCAAGGCTGGCCTGAGCAAAAAGGCAAGCCTCCATTTGAAAAATAACACAAGCAAAGGACCTGAAGGTGTGGCTTAAGTGGTAAAGCATCTGCCTAGCAAGTGCAAGATCCTGAGTTCAAACCCTAGTACTGCTGTTTTTAATAATAGTTCTCACATTTTAATATCAATAGATCCTTTCCAAAAACATATATTCCCACAACTCACATAATCCTCCACTGAAATTAAAAGGTCTTCTCTTAAAAGCCTGACTCTGACTCCAGGGCTTGTTTTTCACACCTTTTTAATTTTGTGGGGGAGCGTGGGGGCAGAACTGAGGTTTGAACTCATGGCTTCAAAATTATTAGGCAGACACTTGAGCCATGACTCCAGCCCTCACACCTTTTTTATCATCTCAGAAAGATTAACCTGGGACTAGCAACTCGGAACAAATCACATAGGCAGGACCATTTCTTACTCATCACTTAAGGTCATGCCAAGATTGTGTCTGAATAATAAAACTAGGAAATATGGCCTTGCCAAAGGCCAATAACGTCCCCAGTCAGGTTCAGGAGAAGGTAATTCAGAGGTTAAAGCAAATGTGGGAGTTAAAAGATCAACCTTAATTCATGTCTTGGCCATTTACCAATCTACATGTATAACTGCCTTACAGAATTATCTAGAAAATTAAGTAAAATAACATATGATACAAGCTAACACTAAGAACATGTGTTGTCTGTAATATAGTACAGAATAAATAACAATGACCTATTATTATTGTTGTTGCCACATTTATGACAGCAATTTAATTGTGATCTCTGTGACATTAGCAGAGCTACCAGGGAACTTGTTCTAAAAATCATATCTTGTTGACACTACTCAGGCTATCAATCTCTAACTAAATCCACAACAGACATAGCTTATTTTTATTGAATTCTTGTTCTTGAACAATGCATGGGATCCTTAATACTTAATTTGAAAAATTTTACTAGGGGACTGTGCAAACAAAAACATCATAGAAAAAAATGTGTGTACTCAGTTTTGTTTCCTGAAAATACCCCATGAAGTCCAGAATAAGCACTGTGAAAAGGTTCTGTGATGTTCATATTATTAAAATCAAATAAACTTAAATGAAAGAAAAAAAGATATTGCCTTGCCTTTGTCCCAAAGCAATGTCAATGTACATGGTTAACAGCTGTCCACCCAACACATAGCCAATGGCAGGGCCTAAGATTGACATAGAATAGCCAATTCCTAGAAGAAGATTAACAATGTTAGAAACACCCACATGCACAATTGTGCTTCTCATGTCAAACAATAATGAAGACAAATATTTTACTACAGAAAAATCTTGATGGTTATACCTACATCAAAGCTAAAGATTTTCCTGGTATGCACCTCTCATCCCAGCTACAAAGAGAAGCATAAAATTAACTGTATTGCCACCTTCTACATTTTTTTAAATTAATTTTTGAGGTTCTTTTACTCATACATGAAAAAGCAGGAAACTAAGTTTACAACCAAAACTAAGCATATATCAATGCCAAAATGACTTATGTACTAGATTAAGTCTCCAATGCAAGGTTCACAATGATCCAAACACACAAAAACTTTTATCTGTCAACTACCCTATTATATATTATAGCTGTGTTTTAAAATGTACATAATTTTAGTAGAAAAGTTCAATTTAGAAATAATTGCATGTGCACATATAAAGGATTAATGATCTAAGTAGTTTATGGACAAAAGTACATTGTTAAAATGCTGGAAATCAGTGATTTATTAACTATTTCTGGTGGCAGATTTTTAAAAGTAATTTCCAATTTGGTTAGACTAATAACTTTAGGAATATCTGATAACTTTTAGCAATATAAAATTGCTGTGGGGGTTTCCATATTAGGGATATGCTCAGGGACATTTAGTAGTCTTTGTTAGTGGTACACCAAGCACACTGACTTCTAGTGACTGTGGCAATAGATCTCTTATGACGTAATAATAAACTGATACAAACAGGACATGGAGGTGCACACCTACAAGTTCAGTACTCAGGTGGTTGAGGCAGAAGGATCATAAGTTCAAGGCCAATCTGGACTACATGGCAAGACTCTCTCTCTCTCTTTCTCAATAAAACTGATAAAGAGAAAATTCATGTGTCAATGAATTAGGCAATATAGGGCCTCAAAGGAATTTAAGATGAACTTACTCTATAAATGAAAAATAAGTGTCACAAATAAAAAGGGTTGATTTTAAATGGGAAATTCTATAGCACTTCTGGACACCATTTATCTTATGGCTTTTCTTGTGGACTCTTGTCATGTCCACACTGAATATAATAACTCATGATCTCCACACCCTATGTAAATTCCCCTGCAATGTAAGCTATCTAAACAGAAGACTGCTCTGATGGCTCTGCCCATTCAGCATGTCCAGAGTGGGACATCAACAAAAGTCATTATGTAGTCCACTACCTAAGTTGATATGATAGTAAATTAAAATGAATAAATAAATAAAGTAATACGGCTTTTACCTAGTGGAAATATCCATGGCATTAAAACTCCCTTTCTGTTTTGTTTTTTGTGGTGCTTATGATGAATCCCAGGGTCTTGTGCATGCTAGGCAAGTGCTCTGCACTGAGCTACATCCACAGCCCTATCTTTTCAATAAAATTTTTTAAAAAACATGTTATGCTTTCCTCAAAATAAACACAAAATGCTACTGAGACAGTTATACTGAAGAGTACGCTTACCTATATAGAGAGAAGACTTGTGGGTGGGCACAGAGTCATCAATAAAGGCTGTTCCCAGGGTGTAGAGAGGGGTTCCTCCAGTCCCCAGCAACAATTGTCCCAAGATGAAGACATATAAGTAGTTAGAAAGTGAAGAAGTTGAAGAGGTACAACTGGTGCTATTTCTTGTTGTTAAGCAAGTATCTTTAGTGGAAAAAAAATTATGAATTTATAGAAGTTTTGCTAATAATTTATTTAACAAATTATACTTGTTGAAGATAACCTTTGTTTCTTTTAACACTTAATTTTGATTATATTTAAACTATATCAAGAGACATATGTTACTATAGAAAATTTATGAAGTATTTCCATGCAAAAATTTAGAAAATATAAAACAAAACTGAGAAACATTTCTTTAACAATCAAAATTAACACATTTTCAGATAAGCCAGGCTAAACAGTACAAGCAAGCGGTGCCAAACAGGTTGAAAAACAATGAAAATAATTATTCTTGAGGTCAAGAGCACAAACCATAAATTACAAACTCATGGAATTATGGAGATAAGGAAAGAAAAAAATACATATGGGCTGAAGAATTTAGGAAAGATGTGAAATGAAACAAACTGTCAAAAATGAAAATCACTCTGGGATGGGCAAAAGAGAATAAAGACTGGGAGAACTACAAGGACAGAGAATAGACTGGAAAAAATATAACGAGATTAAGTGAAGAAAAACTAAGACACTAAGATTTAAAAGATTAACGAAATTATAGAAGAGATACAGATAAAAGCAATCAAACAATAGGTAATCAACTAGAATAGGAATATATCTTATCTATCGGTGATAGAGATTGGATGGTTAGTGCCAAAATAGTTAGATAGAAGGAATGTGCTTAGTGTTCACAGCACAGTAGGGCAACAACAATTAACAGCAACCTATTATGTATTTTAGGAAGTAGTAAAAGAAAAGAAGTTCAAAGGCACCAAACCTCAGGAAAGATAAATGTCTAGGGGTATGATTTGATTATTAAATATTGTACAAATATATTTCATTATCACACTGTGTACCCCATAAGTATGTATAACCATGTGTTGATCAAAAACAACTAAATTTTAAAAAGGCATGCAATTTGACAATATACCACAAGATGGAGCCCCTAGATTGTTTATGAATTTAGAGGATTGTTGCCCTTAATATTAAGAATTACAATTTCACTTCATAGAAACCAGTGGGAGGGGGGCAAGGTAGAGAAATGACCCAAACAATGTATGCACATGTGAATAAATGAACAAATAAAGAAACAAAGAAAGAAAAAGAGAGAGAGAGAGAGAAAGAAAGAAAAAAATATATATATATATTAGTTGGCCAGTCCTGCCAACTAATATTTGCAGAGCCTGCAGCAAAAAAAGACAAAAGAAAATCCTCATGGACAGAATATTTAGAAGTTAAATATCAAGCTTAATAAGCCCAACCTTTCATCCAGTCAGAGACCCAGGCATTTGCCCTAAAGACCTGGAGGCAAAAGTCTCTGTTTCCCTAGGCCTGCCCTGCTACAGGGTTAAGTCTGCACTGGGCTGAGACTGTGCTGAGATTCCACTCTCCCAGTCCCTTTTGTGAGCAGATTTCCAGGAGGCGCCTAAGTCTTCTGGGACAGTGACTGAAGAGGCTTAGTTTTCCAGGTGACTAGGTCTCATGAATTACCTGAGTCAGGTACTTTGAGATGGCTAACTAAACAAAACCAGCCTTCCTTTCTGGAGACTGGCTGTAGTGTTCTGTCTCCTAGCCACTACCTTTGTTTATACTAGACCATCCCCAAGTTACATTAACATGTCTGGTCTGGGGAGTTTAGCTCATTCTTACATTCCTCTCCTATGATTCTCTTTTCGCTTACCCTGTTACTGACCTTTCAAACTTTTCTTTAAAAACTTGATAAAAGCAAAAATAATGAAACCTGGAATGTTAAAGTATAAGTTGTTCTAAGAACCAACTCAGGACAAGGCCTTTCTTGCCTAGGCCTAAGGGAAGCCAGTGGCCAAAGAGCTGAAAAAGTAGTAAGAGAAATCTCTTCCTGCAGGTGAGGAGCTAGTCCTAAATCCAAATTCATATGCTTTGCCTGGTAACAAGAGATGATCCAGGTGGCAGCAGAGGCCTCCAGTCTGCTTGAATTTCTAAAACTACAGAAGGTAATATAGAAAGACAAAGAATCTCACAGACAGCACTCTCTCTTTGTGGGAATTGAAAAGCTGAGAGCTTTTGTTTACACAACCCACCTGCCTGGGTTGCCAGTCTGGCCACTTATCTCCTCTGGGGTCCTGACCCTAACCCACCAATAAAATGACTTCCAAAACGGAGCTACCATAGCATCCACAGAAAGATGTTATGAGGCCATTATTTATATGAAAGAAGACAGAAGCAGAAAAGACAAGAAAAAGAAACTGGAGATGAAAAATGGCACGAAGAAGAAGGAAAAATTAAAACCCTGTAAACCAGATGCCAGCGGCTCACACCTGTAATCCTAGCTACTTGGGAAGCTGAGATTGAAAGGACTGCAGTTTGAGGCCAGTCTGGGCAGATAGCTCCAAAATAACAAGAGCAAAAATGGACTTGGCATCATGGCTCAAGAGGTAGAGCACCAGATTTGCAAGTGCAAAGCCCTGAGTTCAAACTTGAGTCCCACCAAAATAAATAAATAGAAATGAAGATACAATGGAAAGGGGCACAAAGGAGAACAAACTGAAAAAGCACAGCAATAGATATATGAAACCAAAAATGCAAAAGTAAGGAAAATGAGTGGCAAAGGAAAAAGGATATTAAGCATAGATGAAGGCTGGAGGAGATTATATATACACATAATACCTGAGAAAGAAAACTAAAACCATGGAACAAAACCCTCAAAGACATAAGTTAAGAAAATGAAACTAAAATTTAAAAATATGAATGAGTCTGTACCTTGATTCTCCATAACTAGGTACCTGGGATACAAGCATCATTAAGACACAGCACACTGCATCTTGAAGAGACTCCAAACTGCATACACATTTGGACAATTGAGAACCTTTGCAGCAAATACCAGCAGTGCACTGAATGTCATGTGTCAGAAGCACTTCTATGATTTCAGAACATGCAGGAGAACAAAGGCTATTAAGTACTTTGTGCCCACCCTCTTAGAGACTTATATGTCATATGATAAAGTCAATATCTAGCATCTCACATACTGGTGCTCCTAAGACAAAGGATGGCAGTTGTTAAGTAAACCAACACAGTTCTAAGTAATTAAAATATCTAAATTTAGTCTCTCTACAGATAGGCTTAAGTCTTGATATAAGATTGTGCATAGAATTGTTGAATATTTTTAAAACATTTTCTGAATCTGTGTTAATTCACCTATTGAATTCATGATATTGGGTTGTTTTGATTCTTTTTTTTATCATTCCTTTACTGGCCAATTAAGACAAGCATTTCACCTCAGATTAGGAGACCAAATATTAGATTTTTGGGTTTTTTTTTTTTTTTTTTTTGGTGATACTGATATTTGAACTGAGGGCCTCATGCTTGTTAGGAAGGCACTCTATCAATTGAGCCACTCTGCCAGTCCTTTTTATGTTGAGTGTTTTTGAGATGGGGATTTCAAGAACTACTTGACTGGGCCTGACTTTGAACTGCACCCTCCTGGATCTCTACCTAAGATTACAGGTGTGAGCCACCTGCACAGAGTTCAACTATTAGATTTTTACCTGAAAAATGTTTGTCATTTATCTTTGTAGAAACACTTATAGAAGTGTTTGGGGCTAGCAGAGTGGCTCAAGCTGTAAGGCCACCTGCCTAGCAAGTATGAGGACCTGAGTTCAAACCCCAGTGCCGCAAAAAATAAATAAATAAGTAGAAATATTTGAATTCCCACACTAAGCAAACACACACACACACACACACACACACACACACACACACATCCTTTTTCTTTTTCTTCCAAGAGACACTGGCACAAGTCAAGATGATCTCTGGTAGATATGAAGAAGAAAGGAAAGGTTTGAGGTTTTACCATCTACTCAAATGATTATGAAAGACAGTTCATTGCTATTTTAGGTGCTTGAGGGAGCTGACAAGCACTGAGTGGTTAGTGGCATTTTCACTATGTAAAACCAGTCATAATTGGTAATTCCACGTCAGTTGCTAAGTAAAAAATGTTTATAAAGATAGGCAGATTATTTACTGGATTGATTCTATGAGATCGTACCTGGAACAAGCATCCTTAATCTGAGTTTCCCTGTCTTCCCCATGGCCCCTCAACTCCATTTTAGTGGAGTATGATAGGGATGACTTCATTTTGTATAACGAATTTTCACAAAATTCTCAGTAAAATACCATGATGACAATGTAACATAAGTCATTCTCCTACCTGAAACAAACATTGAAATGTTGTCACTATTGGTTGTCATTTTATAAGATGGTGAAAAAAAAAAAATGTGCAGAGAGACAATCAACAATCTCTATACTTCTTCCTCTGTACCTGATCAGAGCTTGACTGAGAGGCATAGCTTCCTGGTCTATCGTCTGATTCATGTTCCTTTTACCACTGACTACATCTTAATTGGTCTGGGATTTTAAAGAGTATTTTATATGTATTCAGCTGTTCTACTTTGATTGGGTTATGACAGTTTTCTTTTACCAAGCACTATTGGGTGTGAAGGTATTAGGCACATAAGCGAATCCTCTCATTCCAAAATATATTGCTTCTCGAAACTGTAAAAGAAGAATGCAATTTCCCCTTGGTGTTTAGGATCCATTAACTGTGCCAGTTTAGTGACCCTGTTCTAAACTTCTTGTTGACTATTTTAGACAAAGAAAGAGATTAGGGAACAGTTGCAGCTTTGAATTTAATGGGATAATGACTAGATTTATGATAAAAGCATTCAACCCTTTAGGACTATAAGTCAATAGGACCAATGCAGGAAACAAAAATTACATGAAGTGTCTAAAAACTTGTGAGGCCCTGAGTTCAAACTCCAATACCACCCCCTACCAAAAGCCATTAAGTGGATTACTAGATACAATAATAGGGAGAGGCACTAATCTATTATCATTCTTTATTCTCTACCCTGCACATTTTGGTTATAGAGGAGCTAACAGAGTCGTTTCTGTTTTAATAGATATAGGATATCCTATAAGGAAAGAAAAGTTCTTTTGCAAGTTATACAACAACAGAA